ACCTCGCACAGCCACTGAAGTGGAGTGGACCAACATTCCACAGGCCACAATTGACAATCTGATAGACTCCATGCGACGATGTGTTGCACTGCATGAGGCAAATGGTGGTCACACCAGATACTGACCGGTTCTGGGTCCCCAGACCCCCAATAGCGCAAAAAACTGCACATTCCAGGGTGGCCTTTTGTTGTGGGCAGTCTGAGGTACACCTGTGCACTACTCATGATGTCAGATCAGCATCCTGATGTGGCACACCTGTGAGGTGGGATGGATTATCTCAATATAGCAGATGTGCCACTACCACACATTTGGACTGATTTGTGACCACTGTTTGGGAGGGATGGTTATATTGTGTATCTGGAATGAATTTTAGGTCTCTACGTCCATCCCATGGGGAATGGGAGCAAAGACAAAAGTGTTGCATTTATATTTTTGTTCAGTGTATGATGCGACAAAAAACTCCAAAAGCGCAAAATTGACAATGAAAACTGTCGGTTTAACCCTGCCTGGACTGACAAATACTTATTCATTTTACCGAGTTTAATAATCTTACAACCGGAGTTGTACTACCATGGTGAGGGTCCTGTACAGCCCAAGAGAGAGCTGCAGCATCTTCCCTTCGTGTTTGCTTCTTGGCGAAGAAGAAAAGGCCTTTCACAGATTCTGAAACAATGAAATACTGCATGCTGGCCGTGGTGCATGCATGCTGCTATTAAAAACGTACCCCTGTAGGACAGTTCAAATATTCGTAGAGTTGAAGTTCTGGCGTCAGACGAGTTTGAAATGCTGTTAGATGACCTGAAGAAAACTGATGTAATGTCTATAGCAGGAGATCACAGACAGAACTGATAATGCACAGTTGTGCGTACATGTCCGTTTTTTGGATGGGAAATTGCTCGGTTTACTACCGTTAGAGGGACACACAGCTGGCGAAATGATGTTTGAGAAGATTTAAGCTCTTTTTGAGGAAAATGGTCTGGATATGAAGCGTGTCTGTATACTTGTGACCGATGAGGCTCCATCCATGGCAGGAAAAGTGAGTGGTCAGCGAAATATTTATTTTAATTTGAAAGGGAATTATCAAAATGTTTTTTGTTATTATTATTATTATTTCAAATGTGCAAAAAATTGTTTAGTTATAGCTCCCTTTTTTTTAAATGGACCTTTTGGTGTGCATTTGTGAGAGGTCACCACCAGATTAATAGGGGAAAAGGAATAAAAAAAATAATTGTTTTTCAGTACAGTTGTGTGGGTTTGAAATTGATCATGATCTGCTGTTTACTGGCTTCAAAAAAAATATCTGGCCCAGATAAATTCCTCGGTTTGAAAATCTGGCCCAACTAACTTAGTAGTTGAATAGGCATGCTGTAGGATGTCACAGCAGGAAATGTCCCCATTTCCTACTAGTTCTGTTGTTGGCCATTACAAAATGAATGTGCACTGGCTATCCTCTGGAGTTTGACATTAGGCCTCCAGGGTGTACTCTCAGATGTTTTCACCTGGCTGCATTGATTCAGCAGAATTATTCAGTTCAACAGCAGAGTGGTAAATGAGGAAACTGCTGCCTCAAAAATAAAAAGGAAAAACAAGGAAAGGAGGGCTATGAAATGAGTTTATAGTCACTGATTTTCATAATTAGAAAACTGTCATACCTCTGGTAGATATTGGCAGTTTGAGACATTATTTCCAAGATATACCACAGTGGCACAGTACAGGAAACTATATATTTTCCCTTATTTTGTACAGCCACCTGAGCTGATTGTAGCTCAGTGAAAAAAGAAAATAGTGAGAACAAGCAGCCTTTTTTATTTATTTATTTGAAAAATATAATCTACAGTTATTTTTCAGCAGAATAAAAATTAATAATGGTTTTCTACATAATGGGACAGAGATAGACTAGAGCTGGAGGGTTAGTACATTAAATCATTTTTTGTTGCTTTCATAAATCTTAAGCATAATTGATATGCAAACTCACAGGATCCAGGACTTAAATGGTGAGAAGTCTGTGTGTGCATGTCCAGGTATGTGTATGTTCCTCTCCAAAGCCCTTGGGCCTGACCCTGCATGACCGAGCAGACACTTGTGCCATTTTAATGGAATAGGTATGACAGTTAGACTGAGATAAAACACTACATGGCTGCCTAATCCTAAGGTACAAACAAATATGAACTGTACAAAATCTCAGATAATCTGTGATTTAAATCAGTGGTTGTAAGTATTCAATATTTACATCGGCCTTCCTTAAATTGCACTTCATTTAAATCAAACTGGTAGCAAATCTGTGAGGTTTTGAAACAAATATGTTGCTGAATATTTGCAAGGATAGAAAACAACACACTGACTGATGACTTCTGATCAAATTACTTGAGTCGGATATTCCTGGAAGGGCTGATTAAGCTGAGAGCCCACTCTCAGGCACACATTATTGCTCTGAACAAGGCACTAACACTTTGACCTTTGGGATAGGGCAGATTTCCCACTTGTTGTTTTCTTGTGATTGTAGACAATGCATTTGTTTGCTCATTAACTAAAAAATAAATTGCATAATGGTAAATGTTGTCTTGCAGACAAGCAATATCATCAAAACAAAGGTCAGCAAAAATGATGCAGTTGGTAAGGGCTGGCATGTTTATTTTATTTGATTATTTCCTTCATTCTGCTCTTTGCATATCTTTGCATCTATTGCAATACATTTATTTTACATTGTTCCCTTTTGTTTTTACCTTAGTTCTACCTATTAATATTATGTTTTTTGTTTTGTTTATTTAAAGTTGCCAACATTTCAGTGATCTCAAACATTTTGAAACAGGCTGTTCGTGCAGTGTGTCACTTCTGTGTGGAAAAGGATCGTCTTTATCTGAATCACAATCAGAATCCTTTTATTGCCGTTAAACATCAGATGTTTAACATTTTTAATAAATAACAACCCCCCCCAGATAGTTAGCAATAAAAAACATCTCTGTGCTACAGATAGTAACAAGTACATATTAATTTATCTCCCAGGTTTGAAGCTGTATGATAGTGATGTCCACAGACCATGCTAAACAAACACGTCAGTATAATCTAATAATAGACCTGGGGTATGTTATGATGTATGATGGGATTCCACTGTGAGGGGGTAAACAACAGATGGCATTAGAACAACAGTACTGAATATGATATGTACAACTACAGATGAGTCACAGGCAAAAGCTTAAAAAACTATTTCAGTCTAAATGTGTGCTGTACATAATTACAGACAGCTCAAACTAACAGCGGGATTACCATATAAACAGAAACAAACAAAAACTTTTGTTATTCTTGTTAGTCTTCAGATTCAATTCAGTCTTTATTGAAAATAATGTTACTTCAATGTAAAGTAATTGAATACCTTTCAATTTTGGACCATTTCACGTGGAGTACAGGCCTTTTAGGGTAAACAGAGGAATTTCCATGTGTTTACTTCACTGTTTTGTGTTGGCTTTTAAATTATTAACTACAAATGAGTTCCAGTTTAATTAGCGACTAATGAATGTGAAAAAAAATGTGCAAAGGGTTTAAGCAAATAGACTGCACGTCCCTCAAAGTTGACACAAGTGTAGTACAAAGATTTACTGACCTTGTTCACCGCTGGAATTCTTTGTGCACCCACTGCTCCCACTGCACAATTTTCCTGAACAGGAAATTTTCTTTTTAAAGTATAGTGATGACTGTACTTGGTTGTAATTTGTTGGCAGATTCTTTATTGGTAATTACAAAATTCTCCACCTTAGGGGTAAAGTAGTGCACCTAGGAGAGCATTTTTACATACTTTGATTGACTATGCTAAAGTAAAAATTAGGAATCCCTAAAAATAAATACTGCAGCCTCATTTCCAATTTAAATTGTCACCACTGAATATCATCTACCTGATTTAAAACTTTTAAGAGACTTGGATCCTCTGGTTCTATAATTGGAGCTACAATCTGTTTTAGAGTTCAGCCATATATTTTTATGTTGGCGTAAATGTCTTCTTCGTCAAATGGAAGTGCAAATGGGTTAACATATAACTTATGTCCTTTTGGCTGTTTTCCAATGTGATTATTGGCAGCTCTTTAAAAGCACAATGCTGGTGGCTGTTTTAACAGTATTGGGTATTAGATATTTGTTTGTCAGAAGACAGAACGAGACTGTGGGCATCCCTTGGGTTTCCCTGTGGGACCAATTGAAGGATTCTCCTACTGCATGACTTTATACTAGTGTCTGTCTCATGATGCTATCATTCTAGTAGACACACTAACAAGAACATTTGTACATAGAAGGATGAAGACACATAAAAATAGGGAGAGTCGACTTCAATGATGTAGCAGCAGGTTTAGTTTTAAGTTGCTCTTGAATTACAAACACAGGATTTATTTAACCATATGCAAAAACAGGTACTGCACTACATGAAAGAAACTAAACTTCAGCATTTATTTCAAAGTTGAAAGCTATCATTGGAGAAAATGGACTGTGGCATTTATACAGGAGACAATTATTCACATTCACATTCAACCATCAGATTCTGATGGCTGAGTCTATTTGCGATAAAAGTGCTGCAAATACATCTCTTTGTTTTTTCCCCAGTCTCTCCTCTAATGCTGTGCAGTGGGTGGGGTCTGAACAAATGAGTGACGGCTCATGCGTTGTGCCTCCGCTCTGATCCATCTGGGACTCACCGTTAACTGCCTGTGCTGCTGCAGAGCTGTCTTTTCCTGCCCCTTACCCCCCAACACACACACACAAACACACACATACACACACTCATTATCCTTATCTGTAACCCCCCCCCCCCTTTTTTTTTTTCTAGTTTTCTGTATGCAGTCTGCATCTTTACTCGCTCCCCTCCCTGCTAACGGAGGTGGGCAAGCTTCCCAGTGCTGGTGCATCTAGCAGGTGCAGCCTCTTTCTCTCCTCCCACCCTTGCTCTCTGCCTCTCTCTGTCTGTCTCTCCCTCTCACTCTCTCTCTTCTCTCGCTCAACCAGTGTGCACTCTGCTCTGTCTGTGCCTGTATTTTTTCTCCCTTCTCTTTCGTTCTTGGTCTCTCAGAGGCGGCAGCTCAGGGAAGCAGCTGCATGTTTGTCTGCATCCCAATTGCCACAGGTAAAGACAGCTGTATCATCTGATGTTGCTAACCCCGAGGGGGGTTGGGGAGCCTTTGCTGCTGCGGCTGCAAGTTCTCATCCCGGCGCGGGGCGCACATTTCTAATCATCTTGAAGAACGCATCCTAGAGGGAACGACGAGCAGAGGACCCCAGCAAACAGACCAACAAATCACACGCTGACTGGAAAGAGCACAGGCTTCCAGGGACTGAGGAAAATATAACACTTCTCAGAAAAAGAATCAGTGGGATATATTTTCAACATTGTGGTGTCCTGTTTATGATTTTCCTCTTTCCTCGTGTTTTCTATTCTTTTGCTTTCAATTCTTTTTGTCTTTTCCATGCTTCTCATCCTCTTCCTCTCACAATTTATTCCTCTGTGCCGGAATGCTCCCTGCAAATAGATGAGAAGAGGCTTTCTGTGCGCTTGCTGCAGTATTAACAAACAGTACACTGAGTCAGTAGAGAGCTGAGCGGACAGCTTGGAGGAATCTGATCCACAGCCGGCTGGAGAAGGAGCAGGATCACGCGTCGCAGTTGCAGATTTATCCGCCCTGTGATACTGTGCAACAACACCCCTCATTCTTTTCCCCCCACCATCCATCTCTCTGTCCTCATCTTGAGTGTTATTTTTTGACTGGATCAAGAAAATTAATTGGATTCTACTGCTTTATTTTTAGCCTTATTGGAATATTGTAAATATAAAAAGGAGCAAAGGAGGCTGCTTGAAAAGCAATGGGAGAGAAAGATTAGCAGATTATCATAGGAGAGTGTTGAAAAGACGCATAAGCGATACACGTCTTAGTGAGCACTCTTTTTTAGTTATGAAAGAGACCGATTTTGGGATGTGAAGGACGCTGACTCGGCTAAAGCAGTCGGAACAGACTGCATCAGGAAACATTTTTTTTTCTTTTTTTCGGTCCTGCCCAGGGTGGGGAAGCAACTAGACCCACCCTGCAAGTTTAACTCTCTGATTCGATATTACTGTCCCGTCGTGGATTCTACATGGAGGGGACACATTCGGCATGTTAAAGAAAAGTGTTTTGGATTCTTTTTCTCCTTTTTTGCTGCAATGGCATCCAAATACTGATGCCATGGATTTCCTACACGTACAGATGTAAATCTGTTTCTTCCCATCCATCTCTCCCTTCCATCTCTCCTTGTTACTCCCTATTAGAGGCATCACTTCCCTTTTTCCTCTTGTTAACCCTGCTGTGAAGACTATTGGAGTTCACTGTTGCTTCAGCTGGACATTGAGAGTTGAGCAGGACTAAACACGGACTAAACACTTATACGTCTATGCCAGCTCTTCAATTTTTCTCTGGGTGTCTCTGCGTGTGAGTGTGTGTGCTTGAGCGTTTATGATTGTGTGTATGCATGTACCTCCTGCACCCTTTTTCCTCTCTGTCCATCCTTGGAATACATATTTTTGTGTGTGTGTTATTGAGAGACAGATTCTGTGGGGTCCATTCCTTCAAATTTCCATTCGTTTTTTTCTTCTGGCCTTGTTGGAAACCTTTCTGCCATGTGCAAACGATGCCTATCACAGAGTTAACCCTTAATGAGCCATAAAGGACGACAGGGAATGATGAGTGAGTGTTCTGGGGCAGCTGCATCTGGGGCAGTAATCCTGGAAGAACCTGAAGGTTCGGGGGCTTCTGCGGGCCGGGGGGAGGGCCAGGCCCAGGAACAGGGTCCCCTTCGCTGTGCAGTTTGGCCTCGTCAGCAGACATGGCTGTGTGTGGTTCCTTTACTTATTGGTTTTATTGGCCTTGGATTGAGCCTGATGCTGCTGAAATGGATTGTTGTTGGTACAGTGAGGGATTACGTCCCAACAGATCTAGTGGATGCAAATCGAATAGGACAAGATCCCATCTTCCTCTCCAAGCCAAGTGGGATTCCCAAGAGCCCCGATACTACCACTACTACAACTACTCCTACAATCGATAGCAGGAACCCCACTGCTAGAACTGCTACTGTGGCAAAAGGTAGAACTCGCACTACTGCTACCACCACAACTATAAATGCTAGAGGGGGTGGGGCGTCAGGCAGTCAGGTAACTCCTCGGAATCCTGGAAGTCGTAATGGACGTGGACCTTCAGGTTTTACCACAACTACTGCAGCACCACGTACAACTTTCATAATTGGAGCTGCAACATCTAGCTCCTCACCGCCCAATCCGACGGTTCTTCATGACTCTACACAGATGTGGACGGCAGAACATACTACTACAGAGACGATCTCCACCACACTCACTACACGTACGCACAGTCACCGCAAAACCCGTAAGTCTTTCATATACTACTGACTTGTGTTGTGTTTCAAAAGCTCCACTGATTGGTTAATCATCACTAAATATGACATCTGAACTTTTTTTTTTTTTAAACGTGATCTTATGGTTTCTTCCAAAACTTTTTTTTTTGCAATTTATGTGCATGACCTTCCTGTTTGGGAAATAATGTTCTTGATTGGTTTTATAGTCAAAACATTGAAGATGAGTGATCAATAGTATTGATTGGCATAGCGAGGGTTTCTAAGTAGTAGTCAATAATCAAGTTTAGGTATCATTTTGGGTATATATAGGTTTGGAGGGTTTTTTGTGTTTCTCTAATAATCAAATGATCTTAAAATTCTTTTGCAAACAAACCACATGAAAAGATCTTCTGCAGCATCCTGAGTAACTTGAATAGAAATTTATTCTGATGCATTAGATGGTGAATCTTTCCCTTCTGTTTTTACCTCTGTCATGCAACTGCTCATACTATTGATTTGTGCTACGGGGAATTTTCTTGCAGCAATCAATGAAGCACACACACGCACGCAGAGACACACGCACACACACACACACACACACGTCTTCCTCCATGACAAATTTCTCAGCTCCCAAAATGGTGTCACATTGTGTGCTGAACCTTCATCTGCTTGTTATGTCCCTGTTTCTGATCTGGGCTTTGGACTACGCTCACAGCTTCACAGTCACAGGAGTTGCTTTATTTTTAACAGTGTGATCTCATGCACTGCATGTATCAAGTCTCTCGCATCTGTGCAGAGGGGTACAAAGCCTCACAAAGAAAAAACTCAAACCTAGCATGTGTTTCGTGATTTTTAGCTGATGTGGGTTCCTATATTTCATATGCTGTTTATTCCTTCCTGCAGTTTAACACTGTAGTTAACTTTCAGTTGACATAATATCAGTTAATGAGTTAATGCCAACGCCATGATCAATTACTTGTGAACTAATAGATGAGAGTGCATGTCATATATCGTTTATCATAGTATACATCATCAAGTATTTTGGAATGTATGATGCACACAATGCCCCCTATTATATTATGATAATTACATATTGACAGTCATTTTTTAAGTATCTGATAAACAAAATCACTCCATTCCACCTTGTGTCTTGACTGCAAAGGTGCAGCTGCTTCTTTTGTATCCATGATAATGAAAATGTCCCCAGATTACATGAGAGACCGGGGAATGTTCCCTCTGATAATTAGAAACATAGAGGAAAAATTGTGTATCATTTCATTACCAGGAAGAAAAATGGGAGCCATTCATCATCATCAGTTCATTTATTAATTAACCATTAAAAAGGAATGCCATTTCTCCACCAAGTGAAAACCATTAAGCTTCGGTGATAGATATCCCAGGGAAAATGTCATTCCTTCACCAGCTCGCCCAAGAAAGTTCTGCCGTTGCACAATTGCCAACTTGTTCGATAATCCTAAACACCCTCCACCCTCCCACCTCTTCTATTCTACCACCCACATGCTGCTTTGATTTGAAAAGGCCATCATTTTTACATTAACTATCCATTATGTGTAAATGCGTTATATAATATGACTGAATTGGCTGTGTTGGCTTGTGCTCAGAGACTGGAGAATTAAAGTATAGCGGGCCATCTGTGTGTTCTTATCAATGCTCTCCCTTCCTTTGTAGGTCACAAAATTAAGAGTGACACAGATTTGTATCTCACACTGGGCTGTGGTCCTGTAACTGATCTGTTAAGTGAGCAAAATAGTATGTTGCCGTGCACACACTCTCAATGTAAACTTAAAATCCCAGATGTAAAAGTAGAGCATACCTAAAATATTGGCTAATTTTTTGTTATTTTATTTTCATGACTAAAAGCATTTTTTTAATAAAAAATTATTTACTAGGTTTCAAATATTATTGTTAATGTAAACACAGAAATCTATATAAATAATTTCTTTTCTTAAAAAACGCTCGCCAAGCACAAAGCTCCTAGGAAAATAAAAAATAGGCAGTTATAAGCCTTTTTAGAGGGGGTCTAAAGTAATTCTCAAGTAATTCTCAAGTAATACTTAAGTATTTCAGCTATTCGTGGGCGGTTGGGTCCTTAACCACCGCGAATACCGGGGGTTAACTGTACTTTCATCCGCAGAACTCCTGATGCTTTTTAGCTTTAAGGGATATTTGGTGACATTCTAGCTTGTCAGTCAAAAATTCAGGGTCTGGCAACTACAGGAAGATATTATAGTTAGCAAGTGTCACTTTGCAAGAGTGACTGACATATCTAAATCTGTCGCAAAATCTTAAGTTATCCCTATGCTTTAAGCTGTAGAAAAAAAGAGACCTAGGATAAAAGATATCATTAAAAGGAGCCGAGTGACCTCTGTGATACAGGGCAAAATGTCACTAATCCCAGTGGGATAAAATGAACTGAAAACTGGATATGTGTTAATTTAACTAACTGTAACTAGTGCTTCAGATATAATGAACTAGAAATCAAAACATATACAAAATAAAAATAACACGTATTAGTAAAGAGTAGCAGATGAGACTATGTAGTCATGAGTAAATCCATGAAAATGTTGATTCAGTGGTGAGAATAGACCAGGACTTTGTGTTTTTGTGTATGTGTGTGAGAGACATGCTACAAACACAAATGAGAGAGAGAGCGATAATGATACATTCAGTAGATTCTGATTTTTGATTGTTCTTTACGAAATCATTTTCAGTGTTAAGCTTCAGAAGATGTCGTAGTGCAGTCTGAGGTCTTTGCCTCCATGCTGAGCCACTCAGTGGGATTAGGTAACAGTCAAACACTGGCCCTGAAACCTAAATCCAGATTAACAGCCCATCACCATGACCATGGAAGCAACAGAATTACATCAGCCCACCTATCAGTCACATGCATTCTACACAGACTTACAAGCAGCAGCCTAACTCCTGCAGGATTGTTTTGATATATGATCTGTGGCGGGATGTTTTTCATTAAATGATGCTGAGGTGACATGTTTAAGGCAGCGTTTTGTCTTAGCCATGTTTTAGGATCCCTCAGGGGTACTGTGAAGCAGTCTGGGGAAGTAGTTTATGCTTATGTTAACAACACAGATATGACAATTACACAGAGTGAAGTTGTGTTTATAGCTTCATTCTGTGGCAACAGTATGATGTAGGGAAGTTGTATCTGTTTGTAGTGTTTATGACAAACATATATATTTTAAATATGCACATTTTACAGAAAATAAATCGACTTATTTCTTTGTGCAGATTCTATTATTTCATCTGGCCAGAGCTTTTTATGAGGACCTGTTTATGGTTAGCATATAAAATAAAAGGATAGTTTCTGGGCTGAGCTCTGGTTAAGAGAGATGCTTTTTGTCCCCTGTGTGATAAAGTGAAACATAGTTGTTTTTTCGTCCAAGTTGTCTGATAAGGCTCTTGAGGTTTAATAAGATACACATTCCATGGTGGTGTTGGCATTCCTAATCCCAGTCTATCTTTAACCTCTCAATCATTACTATCATTCAAGACAGAAGAGTTAGTGCTATTATTGTTTGGATTTCAAAGTCGTTGTTTCCTAAAAGAAACAAAATATCAATTAACTCATTCACTGCCAGCCATTGGCAGTGAATGAGTTAAACCCATTGACTCATTCACTGCAATTGACGGCTATAGACGTCAATGGCAGTGAATGAGTTAAATGATCAATTTTGAAAGTATTCCATTCATATATTTCTTTCTAAATGTATCTGTTCAGTCACTCATTTCATCTCCCATTTAATCTGATGACGAGATCTCAACAGTAAATTAATCAGAAAATTTACTTCAGCTTTCGTTACCTCTGGCCAACGCCAGCGGCATCACTGTACATGTTTGCATTACACTAATCATCTCAGAGGGAGAGCTTTTCAGTTTTAAACCAGATTTTCCTTTTTAAACCAGATTGTACAGTTCGCGATCTTTACATTTGGATTAGCTGTCTGGAAGCTGCTTAGGAACAAGTTCCCAATGGGGTTTTTCTATGTACTCTATGTGTGCACTGTATTCATTGATGCCTGTGCCACAGCAGCCTATGACTAAATACAGCTATATATATTTAATGCATTTGAACTAGCTGCGACCACTTGTGTGAATAATAACGCAAATAAGCACCGTTCTAGAAGTCTGATTGCCTCCTTTGCAAAGAAATGACTTTTCTGCACAAAATTACCGGTACAGCTTATGGTTGATGAAATGTGCTATCCAATATTCTCTTGTGCCCTGTAAGAAATGTGTTATATTTTCTCAAGAATTCTGCCAAACGGTTGAGGTTGTTACTTTACTGGGTTATCTGAGGTCTAAGCAAAAGAGAGAGAGAGGGGAAAAAAAGATCCCATACTATTTGTAATCAGTGGGCGGGCAACTGCACTGAGCCCCAGACTCCCATGGGCCCAGAAAGTCTCAGCCATCTGTTGTTAAGTTGATAAGCTGCAAATTTAGTTTTGGAATTTGTCACCTAATATTGAATTTAATCCATCGATGATGCCATAGCTTATATATTTTATGGCAATCCATAGCATTAATATTAATGTATCTTCCATGTAACGTGACATACCCCTATCTTACTGACTGCTTTGATACACACAAATGTAGCTATATATATGTGTGTGTGTGTGTTTTCCTTGTGATCCACCTTGAGTGGGATGGATATAACCAAACACTGATCAAAGCACCTTGAAGTTTTTTGCTGATGCAGGCTGCGATGCTTGACCACTAACCGATCACCTGAAAACCTGTCATCTCATCTATTCAGAGTTTTAATTTGCTCGAGATGCTGTGCAAACAAAGCTTAACATGCCTTTGATTCATTGTGATGAAATGTCTTGCAGGGAGAAGAGTGATGAAATTTTAATGATGCGAAAGAGAAACATGTTCAATATGTAGTGGAAAGTGTAAATAATTGAAAATGGCCCTTTCACGAATCATCCCATACTGAGTAATTCCCCACTTCAGTGAATGCAGGTGTTTAGGGTTCTTTCACTTTTTGCAATGG